TAATTAGGTCATTTTGACCAAATTTGACTTAATCCTCATTTTGATATGATGGGTCGCATATTTGTAACACATTTTATATCTGAAAGCAGATCTCAAAGTGCAAACTATAAAAGACGCTAAAACAATAATAAAAAAATAAAATAAGAATAAAATGGAATAATAAAAGAGAATAAAAGAGGAGTAAACTAAAAGATTTTCTGAATAAAAATGTCTTCAGCTGCTTCTTAAAAGAGTCAACAGACTGAGGTGCCCTGAGGTAGTCAGGCAGGGCATTCAGGCATTTGGGATCAGTCTCAGCTACTACCACACCAGACTTTATCTATGTGAAACGGACTGAGTTATTGTTTGTGTATTTTTTTAAGATCGCTTAGCTGTGGCAGTCAACTGAAACTGCAGTGACTCCAAAAGTTTATTAGCTCTACCTAATTAACCACTGTTCACTTCTTGAAAGTTTTATTAAAATTTGTTTGACGGGCCATGAGATATTTTGCTAACAGTCAAGCAGGGTTGACAAATGCACAAAGGTTAAAAAATTATCATAATTTTTTCTTTTTAAATTAAGTTTGATTTGTTGCAAATAAATAAATACAGCATCTATTACATGCATGTTTAGTTGAATCTTATTGCATAGATGGAGCACCTGTTAATGTGAAATATATATTAGTAACTGCAAAACATTATCGTTCATTTTCTGCATGTGTTTGTGGGAAATCAAAGTAAGACTTTTGTAAGCTGACATGAAAGACTTTCTGCTTTCTGCAATTAAAGGGGACGTATTATGCAAAATTCACTTTTTAAAGGTTTTTTTACTCAACTTTGTGTATGTACTCATCAAAAAAACAGTCCTAGGACCAAAAAAATGCACCCAGGGGCAAATTTACTGTGAGTAAATGTATTTTTAATGTATATTAATGACAAGTTTTATACTTCCGTCATTTTGTGATGTCACAAGCCGTACGACAACCCACCAGAACCTGCGTTCAGCCCCTCACCTAGCAACCCCCAGGTGAGACTCCTCCTCCTCAGTATAAAAAGCCGTCACTGTGTTGTTGTGTAATGTGCAGCTCAATTCACAACAAGCCTCCAATAGTGCAATGGGTAGAGTGTTGGACCAGAGAGTTTGAAACCGACACGGACACAAACAATTTAATTACTTATTTTTGTTCGTTATGAACACATTTTCTCATGTACCTCTATTGTTTAGCTTATTAAAGCCTTGTTAAAGCCTATTTGTTCAAGTTTCTGAGGGATTTTGACCGCTGCTGCTCCCTGCTCTGGTAACAGCATGCAGAGTGAGCACAGAGCAGAGGAGAGAGAAAAAAAAGAAGCTGCGACCGACTCTGCCTCTGTGTCTGACTCAGGGTCTCATATATACGGTTTTACAACGGAGCTTCTGCTATTTCTAGCCATGCTAACGTAAACGCTGGCTCTGGAGGACAGAGTTTGGAGGGCGTTACCAACAGAGCTCATTAGCATAAACAGCTCTTCTGAACAGAAGTCAGAGCAGCAGAACTAGAAAATGCGAAATTTTATTATCTGAGAATTATTTTGTGCATTAAATTGAATGAAGATGGTCTGGATAGCCCACAGACATACCATAAACATTTCTAGGACCCATAATCGGTCTCCTTTAAGAAGACAAAATGTGTGCATGTTAGTGTGAGATGGAAGAATGAAGCTTATAAAGCATGTTTTAGGACTGTGGGAGGAAGTGGAGGCCTCAGAGAAAACCCACACACGCACTGGGAGAACATGCAAACTCCACGTAGGAAGAACTCAGCCAAGGTTTTAGGATTTTGTTTTTTCAATGCTGTGCCATCTTTTTTTCCAGACTGAAGGCGATTGAACAGGAGTGAGAGGGATTTCTTTTTGGACCGATTGCTTTCCCCACCCCCACCCCCTCCTCCTTGAAAATCCATTCCAAGGAGAAGATGGTGACTCTGTCGGCCACACCAAACAAATCCCCACATTCATTTGGCGTCATGACACCTCCTACATTATTATACGGGGGTAGGCAGAGTAATTTGGGCGGCGCTCAATTTGCAATCTACTGTTTTACCAGCTGAATTCACCGCTACCACACTGGAATAACAGCGTGGGAAGAACTGAAGCAGCAATAAAAACATGATAAGTCCTGTTTTATCATTAGGATTTTGTCTGCTGTAAAAAAAAACATTGGTGCATCTTCACAACATGAATTCAAGAGATGATGTTTTTATTTGAGACATACTTTTTCGATGTTCTACTTCATTTCTAAAAAAAACATGTTTGTTCTGCTGACATGGCATTACTAGTCCACCCACTTTTAATTGTAGGGTTTGATTTTTGATCGGGCAGTTTGAGGAGCCTCCTGTTTCCTCCTGTTTATATATTTTATTTTACGTTCCACTTACTCATTTAAATTCTGACATATTTTACAGCTTTTTGTTGCTTTTTTTTTTGTTTGTTTTTATTTGCATGAATTGTAAAGCAAATTGATTCATGTCTTCTGTTTTTAATCTGTTATAGAAGTGAGATTAAGATTTAAAATTGTGTGCAAAACTGAACGCTGAATTTTATTGTAAAACCAACAGAGTAATATACCAGATTTTTAATTCACCAGCGCACTCTTGTGGTTTTGACATGTAATAATCATCACCTGTTCTTATTTTAAACCAACCTTCCTGATGGGGATCACAACCAGAGGTTTGTCCTCACACTCCAGCTCCTCTTCAGTCTGATAACAGAGGAGATTTTGTCCTTTGAGGACGCACTCGAAATCTTCCCAATCATCTGAGTCCTCTTCAGGCTGAGTGAGAGCACACAGTGAATCAAGGCTGAGAATCAGAAAAAGGTAAAAAAAAAAAACAGTTTTTTTTTATCAAAATGTGAGTAAATCTATAAAAATATATTTACTTTGACCTGGAGCTGCCCACTGATGACTGGTTGAATCATACAGACAGGCTGAGCAATTAAACGACAGCACATGCTTCCAAAGAGAGGCAACCAGTACGGACAGTCCTCTGGAAAACAAACAACTTATTTTATACAAAAAAATTGGAATTGCATTTTCCTGACTGTTTCCTGGTTCTCAAAATGACGCTCTAGTGACAAGCTAAAACAAGTTAATCGTTAGCTAAAAGCTAAAAGAAGTAAAAGAGCTGAAAGTATCAGCAATTCTTCACTTTTGTGCTTCTCTTTCATATCAGTCAATCAACTTTAATTCTTTAGCACATTTTAAAAACTGCAGTGGTAACCAAAGTGCTGTACAATAAGACAAAAATAAGTTAAAACGATAAAAAGAAACACACAACACATAGTTGTGTTTTAAGATACGAGACAAGATCACAATGCTGAAGCCAAAAAATAAGTGTTTTTTTTTTAAGTGGTTTAAAAACAGGAAGAGAGGAGGCCTGTCTGACACTCGTTGTTAAATTGTTCCTTAACTTGAGAGCAATGACAGAAAATGATCTGTGGCCTCTGAGCTTCAGACCAGTTTTAGGGTCAGCAGCAGCAGATGAGCTGATCTCAGGGATGGGGTTGGGCAGTAAGGCTGAAGCAGCTCAGATAAATACGATGGAGCAAGGTTGTTCAGACATTTAAAAACAAATAAAAGCTTCAACTTAATTCTGTAGTGCACAGGGAGCCAGTGAAGGGATGCCAGGATGGGAGTGATGTGCTCACGCCTACTAGTCAGTGGCGGATCTAGGATTTTTCTGAGTAAGGGGCCATCAAGGGGGCCACAATATTCAGAGAGGGGCCAAGTCTTTGTTCAACATCCTTTCACACAAATTCCCAGTGTATACATTTTACGCTTCAAACACTTGTAATGTAATGTTTTTATTTTTAAAAGGTGCCACTTTACAATGAGGCCCCCCTTATAGATGACTTTTAAAGAGTTTATAGATAGGTTATTAATTAATCTGTAAACACTTTAAAATTATTAATAAGTGTTTATTATGCAATAATTAAGGACAAGAAAGAGACAATTGTCCAGTTTCATTTATTAATGATTTATGAAGTGTAAATTTTACAAATGAATTAATAACCTATCTATAAACTCTTTATGAGCCATCTATAAGGGGAAATTGATTGTAAAGTGGTACCAACAATCTTGCACAGTAAATTCTCCTCACCAGTTTTTCATACATTTTATTGTACATAGATAAAATATTTTCAAACACACAACATGTGAGAAAATCCAGCCATCATTTGTCAGATGAAAGACTTTTTTGCAGGATTGTTCACATTTTAAGAAGAGAAGAAGAATTCTGTCAGCTTGATTCATTCTGGACTTTAACATTTGACTCATGAGCACAACTAGTGTTTGAACATGGAACTGCATCCACCATCATCACCCCCAGGTAAAGGACAGATGAGTGACAGGACAGGGGCACTTCAGTGGGCCAATCAGATTTCAGCTGGGGCCAATGCCCTTGTGGCCACGCCCCTAGAACCGCCCCTGCTACTAGTCTGAGTTAAAAGGAACATTTCAACACAAAGGCAATAAAATTTGTTAAAATGAGTAAATAAAAATGTTGTCATATATGACATTGTTTTACATAATTTATTTACATAAGTACGACTTAGAATTTAAAATTACTTGAGTAAAAGTTGGTAAAGTCATGACTTTTAATGGTGATGATAAGTAAATTTTACTTAATAGTGACAAGTAAATTGTACCTACTATTACAGCAGTAAAATTTAATTGAAAAGTGCTAGTGCAAATTGTTACACTGATTTAAACCTTACATTACAACCTTACATTATTATTTTTCAATGCGACTCCAACAACAGTAAAAGGCAATGTTTAAAGTCAAGATGTTGCACATTTTGTGGATGATGCTCAGCTACCACCACACCAGGTTTTTTGGTTATTTATAAAAGAAGCATAATCATTTTTGTGTTTTCTAAGGTCAGCTGAATGTGGTGGTCTCTCAGTTACTTGAAAAAACATTATTTAGTCAACTACTTCAGCATCTAGAAGCTAATAATATGCTAAGCAACAGCCAACTTGGTTTCCGCATGTCAAGGTCAACCATGTCTGCATTAATTKTATYYDHTGAACAAATACGTGCTGCTTTGAACAAAGGTCAAGTAACTGGTGCTGTATATATTGATTTTCGTAAAGCGTTTGACACAGCTGATCATTATACTCTCTTACAAAAGTTGATTTCTTTTCAACTTTCATCATCTGCAATACAAATGTTTTCCTCTTATTTGACTGACAGGTGTCAGGTTATGAAACATGGAAGCTCAGTGTCCGAGTCTCTGCCCTGTTCAGTGGGAGTACCGCAGGGTAGCATACTGGGCTCTTTGCTTTTCCTATTATACATAAAAGAC